ATGGCCAATGAAATACAGCACACCGTTTTATAGAACACATGCTTTTTATTTATTTCTATTTATCCCCTGTAGCTTTTTTGTCTCTTCTCTTTCTCCATGTCAAGGTCTTGTTTTCTCATTTATGTTTCTTAGTCTTCTTTTTTTCCCTGATTTTCTCTTTTAATTAAACTTAGCTGATACGTGTAGGTGGTAAGTGAAAAAGAGCTCATTTTATATGAAACAAAATGTTCTCTTTTCTCTCTTTGGTTTGTGCGTCTTTTTTCCCCATCATCCCATTTCCATGTCCTTCTTTCTTAGTACTGTTTGCTGTTAGTCTGGTGTTTGGATGTTTTTCTTATGGCCCACAAGTATCACTTGTAGATGACAAAAATAAGTCAAGAGAACCAAAAAGCGTGCAGATGTCTGTTAAAATAAATAAGGAATTAGAAAGTTTGAGTATTTTACTAGCAAAACTCATATAATGTGCATGAGCAATGCCATTGAATGAAAACCCAAGTTCACTCTTCCATATCAAGAAGGAAAGTAGCAGTGAGGAGCTGAAAATCAAACGCATTTATAAACTGAAAATCTTCTCATTTCATTTTGCTGAAGTTTTTTGCAGTTTGCTGGTCTGCAGCATTAACCCTCTGGAGGCAGGCGTTGCAGATTTGCAACAGTTAAAACCTACTCCACATACGTATTTCATGAGCATTTTTTAACTCAGAAGTACCCCTGAAGGACTTAGTTGAACGTCCTTTTATCAAAACTTATTTTGAGCCTGAGTGGGTTAAGGTGATTCAAGAGGAAATACAAAACTAAATTATAGTGAAGTAGTTGTTGCACGTTCATTTGAAGATAAAAAGGATTGCTTATAAACAGCTAAAACTCAGGACTAAGCCCAGGGGTCTCATTTATCAAACATTGTGTAGAATCCTTACTAAAACCGTACTTAAGCTCAGCAAAAAAAAAAAAAAAAGTACTTACGCCAAGTAGGTTTGTGATCTATCAAACATGGAGTACGCACAGCTGCACACAATCTCCTCTTCATTTATCAGAAACTATCTAGAAAGGTTCTCAGCTGCATTTTAGTCTCATCCCGCCCTCACTAAGCCCACTTACTGTCAAAAATAGTCAATGCAAAATGCCTTGTGGACCTCATGCATATACATAAGCCGGCTGTTGTAGCATTTCGATCACGACCGCAGATCAAGGAAGCGCTATTTCACAAGCAGAAGTTGAGGCACTTGTGGGTGAGGTGGAGAAATGAAAGGAAGTGCTTTTGCAAAACAAATGAGAGAAAATCCACAGAGTGGCACAGCGTTGCTGAAGCCGTCAATGTTGTGAGATCTTCAGAGAGATCTGTGGCAGATATAAAAAAAATGGTCCAATAGGGATTCGATCCCTGGACTCCCAGGTGAAAGTCAAGCGTGCTAACCAGTCACCCAAACAGAGATCTTGTCCAAGTAGCCAGGGCGTATGATCAATCGAGTCACAGTGACAGGACGCTCACACGGTCACAGACGCATGACGTTCTGTCTCAGTCTGTCCCCTGCTGATATTCTACATTCCGCATTCTGCACTTCAGGCTGTGTGTGTGAGTGCACGCACGTGTGAGTGCACGCACGTGTGAGTGCACGCACGTGTGAGTGTGCGCGCATGTGTGTGTGTACGCGCGTGTGTGCGTGTGGGGGGTCTTGTTCTGTGTGAAAACGAAGCAGTACAAGTGATAATGCTGCAGGATTTCATAATTTTATCCTTCTCAGCAGCAGCACTGCAGGTGCTCTCCATGTCCAACATGTGCGTAAGCAAGGTCCTCAGTCAACTTAAAGTTGCACACATTTTTTCGCTAAGTTTTCTTTCATGAATCCTAAAGTTTGCCTCGAAAGTTGCTTACACAGTTTTCTGACCCCGTTTTGTGCGTAAGCAAGCTTGATAACTGAGGCTCCAGGTCTTTAAAGAATCTTAATTTGCCTGATAAATAAAATAATAATCAAAGAATTTTACATTTGTAAAAGTCGAATGGTGTTATGGCTGGTGCCTTTTTGTTCAGGGAGTAGGACTAGTGGAACTCCGGCTTTCCTGAGTCTTTCAACAAGACCAAGGCACCAAATACAGGGTACCGCCCAGCGCCGTCCCTCCTTACACACAGATCACGCACAGTGCGTAGGGCTCCACAATCCACAGGGGCCCCATCTTGTGTAAGAGGACACACTCTAGTCCATGAGGCACTCCATGCGCTTAGCACCAACAGAGCTAGCCCATCTCAGAGAGAGAAAAAGACGAGGAGTCCAATGCAGAGCAGGCAGCAGCAAAACTATGTGGCATTGGGCGGAGACACCAAAAACGGGTTGTAACAAATTGGGGGCTCATCCGGGATCTCCCATCCTGTGAAGGACTTTTAATGGCATGCGTTTTTCAAACTATTTTTATTTGTAGAATTTAAAGTGTATCAGCCGATGACTGAGTTGATGGCCATCTCAGGAACACTTGTTGGTGCTGGGGGTGTGCTACAGCAATGCGCCATCTCTCAGCTCTTTAATCTTCCAACAACATAAGGGACCAGATGAATTAATGTTTTGATGTGTATTAGTTTCGATTCCAAAGAGGGTGTTTACTTTCCATTCTATTGGACAACCTGCATATGTACTGTATGTGTCTCAGGTGATCATAAGTTCTGAGTGTGTCACTTTACACCTGGCACTGAAATGCATCTCCACATGTATCTCCAGTGTCAACATACGATCGGATCTCACTTCCCCCGCTCTGCACTCAAATAAAGAGAAGAGCCATCGCAAGTCGTGCTCACGTCCAGCAATGGGCATCAAACAGAACATCTGCTGATCTGCTAGAATCTTCCAGGAGAACATCTGACGACTGGTTTTATTGATTTAGAAGTTATTGATAAATCTGTATTTGCTCCTCAGATCCATGGCAAACGTTTTGTGAATGAAGCTAATACAAAACAAAAAAATCTTTCTTTGTTGAACTACAAAAAAAGACTGCTCTGTGTGAAATGCAAAGTGTAACATAATCCAGCCATCAGCGGCATGTTCCATTGAGTAGCAACACAACTCCCTTCCACTCTGACACGTTGCGTTCTCTGTTAACATTACAGTAACACTTTTGATGAACAGAAATGAGGGTCAAGGTCTGAACTCCTGCAAGTAAAGAAGCAGAGGCAGGGTCAAAAGAAAGGGTAGGAACACTTATCTGTTGCTCATTGAGTTTGCTTCAGAAAAAAAAGCTAAATCCATTGAAGTCAAAATCCCAAACTTGTGTCTACAACTCAGACCTGTTCAGATCACATCCTGATCTGCTGAAAACTGGGATTCATTCACCAAATCCAGATTCATTCACCAAATCCAAACACAATAAGCTTTACCGGCTTCACGAAGGATGTCTGGTTTGTTGTTCTAACAAAAACCTGCTCAGCAGCTGATAATCTGTGGCTTGTTTTATTAGTTTCACACTAAATGCACATTTTCCAAATCAGCCACGAATTATCCACTCAATGTGTCTTATTTTAGTTTATCTCAGTTGGACACAATGATTTCATTAACATGTAAGAGGTACAAAAGCAAAATATAGGCCAATCAAACTGTTTACTTACATAATTTAGTAAATAAATGAGCATAGCAGAATCTTAGTTTTCAATCTTTTTGCAGTCAGACGGCCAAAGAAGGCTTTTGTACAAAAAAAAAAAAAAGAACATGTGGGAATATAAAGAACTTTATGGAAATTGGTGAATCTTTCACTGGTAATAAGCATTTCCTGTACCAGACTAATTTGCTCCAAAAATATTAAACTTTGATACAAACTGCATTTATTCTTTTTTATTAATATTTAAATCTGTTTAATGTCCGATGATAATGGCAAATGCATCGGTCAAATAATTATTTGATTTATGAATATGCTTACATTCTGCACTATCCAGTCATTGCCAAGCACCTTGAAGTGTGGACTAATAATTCCACTAAATGTAATCTATCTGCAGTAAAATGCATTAAAGGTTAGGGCAGCAGAGTGAATTCCCTCTCTGAAATTTCCCACAGGAACTTGGAAATGCCGACTTCCAAGTTCAAATGGCAGGCAATATCAACTCCACTCCATTCTTCATTGTCAGAAGAACAAAAATTCACAGGGGATAAAAAAAAGAAAAACAGCAGAATGTGACAGAACTGTTTCAGAGTTCATGCTGCAGGATTTGAAGCCACAGCAGGAGAACACTAACTCAGCAACATGAGAATCAGCGAGTGGCAACAGCTCCAATGTTGTGCAAAATGTATGCAGGGAAAATAAAGCAATAGCAGCAAAATTAGCTACAAAAAACAATAAACTGAACCAGGTTTAGGACCAGCGTTTAAAAGATTATTATTCAATAGACGTCACCTTAAGCTGTAAAACTAAAAACCAGGGTTGGTTGTATCCTGTTATGTAGCTTAAATACACAAATCCATTTACAAAGCCTTTTTAGATTACTTCCTGTTTCCTGTTTCCATAAATTTAAATCTCCTTTTGTTTTTATTCTCATCGCTCCCTCTCTCCTGTCTGACCCGTCTGTGATGAATAATGAGAGCTGCAAACCAAAACCAGTTTATGGAATGAACTCATGACATTATTAACAGCATAACGCTGAGTTATTTCTTTCTGCGGCTACATTAAAAATACATCCGAGAGCCATTTCTGCAAACATCCGACGAGTGACCACACATTTGTTTCCTTTAATGTATTCAAGCATCTCGCCATAAACCCCTGAAATCCAATCTGGTCTCCCTGGCTGCTCCGCTCACCACCTCCCTGCATCTCTCCTGTCCTGTCAGTCAAGCCTGCTCTCCTGCTCCTGGTGGATCTCCATTCACTTCTCTGCTTTTGTGTCTTTTACTTGTAGAAGCACAGAGCATGAACATGTCAAAAAATCTGATTGAGATATTGTTTTTTAAGGACCTTCTCTTATTTTTGGACTATTTTAACCCCAAAAAAAATGACAATAAATATCTGCTGAACAAGTTTAATCAACTCACATCTTCTCCTGTCTAGTCACGTTGATGCTTTATGATGCAAACATGTGATTCCTTCTTGTGCTGCACAGACATCCTCTCATTTTCAGCTGCGCAGAGGGGGTGTTCTGTCACATTAAGACAAAATGAGCCCTTCAGAGTGGAACTATAATCTTTTAAACGTAAGACAACTGTGCGTCACAGAGAGAGAGGCACATTTTCTTTCAAATAAAGCGTTTAACAACTCGGAAAATGTCACAGCTGAAAGAATCAATCAAAACAAAGTCATAAAGAGGCGAGACAACCGCTCTGCGTGAAACGGCGCACGGATACCTGCGAGGCGCTGCGCGTGTGTGTGCGTCTGCGTGCGTGTGTCTGAGAGAGAAAACGAGGGAGGGGCGATCCCACAGCCTGTGAAACACCTGAAACAACCGCAATCATTTGTCTTCACCATAAAATCTCAACCGTGTGAATGAAACTGATCCCGGACCAGGCGCGTGGCTGCGTACACTTTTAGCACAACCCTCCCTCCTGTATAAAACCCACTCCCTTCCTGTGTATCCTTATGGGTGAAATGTGATTCTAAATGGCTTTAAAATACAACACAAGTAAATTGTCACACAGTTACTGGGCAAATCAAAAGAGACGTTTGCTTCAGTCGCGCGCACTTTTTACGCACAAACGTCTCCAAATCGAGCTTCTTCTTTTTTTTTCTTTTTTTTTTTTTTTTGCCACGCTTCCTTCTAGCCTTAACTCAGAGATTCATACCTGGTGTTGCGGTGTGGTCTTGTTCTGTCAGCCCAGCAGGTGAATCTTTTTCCTCATAGCCACTCCACCAACCGAGACGGAGGAGAGGCTCGCATGCTCCTCTCCACTAACCGGAAAGCGGCTCCTTTCTCGCGCAAAATGGGAAAGTTCCAGGTTACCATCCACACCACTGAAGCTGGAAAACTGGGACAAAAGATCAAAAAGCACAAAAGGAGGACAGATCTGACTTCCGTATTTAAAACCAGCGTTGTGCCTCCAGAAAGGGTCCCCAGAAAGTTCCGCTCCTCCCCTCCTGTTTTTACGCAGAAAGTTCTTAAACCATGGCAACAAGGAGGAAACGTCCGAGCTGGGATTTAGATGAAAATGTCTTAGACTAACTTTTTTTTATCCTCTTTAAGGAAAGTGATGAGACAGCAACCAAGTGGCGGGACGTTGGTGAGATTCTGTTGGGGGTGTCACGCAGACTGGTGCTGAGCTCCAGCTCGTCCTGCTTGGGAGAGGGAGGTCACTGTGTGAAGTGGAACACCGCCCCTTAGCGGCCGAACGGGGGACTAAAAGTCACTTCAGTGACGTAGTACTGGGAGAGTTGGTTCTGTGATATTATTGTCGTCTCCTGCCAGAGAGGACTGGCTGCTGTAAACAGAAAGGCATGAGCTCAAAAAAGCACACACACACACACAGAGAGAGAGAGAGAGAGAGAGAGAGAGAGAGAGAGAGAGAGAGAGAGAGAGAGAGAGAGAGAGAGAGATTTCTTAATCCCTCTTTAGAATGTCGATTTCCCTCATGTTCTGTATCTAAACTCCTAACAGCCATCCTTCATGCATGTGTGTGTGTGTGTGTGTGTGTGTGTGTGTGTGTGTGTGTGTGTGTGTGTGTGTGTGTGTGTGTGTGTGTGTGTGTGTGTGTGTGTGTGTCTTCTGTGTGAAGTTCAAATTAAATTGAACTCACTTTAGCTGAGTTACAGGCATTTCCCAGTGGACTAGCCCAACAGGGGCAGAGGGGTAATTGACATCATCCTGACCATGCTGACCTGCCTCACCTCCTCATGCTTGTGTGTGTGTGTGTGTGTGTGTGTGTGTGTGTGTGTGTGTGTGTGTGTGTGTGTGTGTGTGTGTGTGTGTGTGTGTGAGAGTGTGTTTGTGTTGCATTGACTGAAATGTCCTGAGTTTCCCAAATAAGTCCACTCACAACACATGACTTTATCCAGACACTGTTACTCTGGCTACTGCAGTCTATTTAAGGAAGGGCGGCTGGTAAGCGTGCTTGTGTATGTGTTTGTGTGCACATGCGTGTGAGTTTAAATGTGCACACAGCTCTTCAAGAAATATACATTAAGGGGACAAAAATCAGGCAGCAGGGAATCCTGTTGGTGAAGCAGTTTCATATGTCTGAGATGCCATCGAGGTGAAGAAGCATGGCTGCATGCATGTGTGACACAGTAATTGTTACCACTGTGTGATTGTGCACACAGGCATGTGAGGAAGCCTGCTGCTAGTCATGTATTGTTTCACCCAGTGAGCAAATCTGTTGTAGGGTTTGGTAAATTGAGTACTTTAAGAGCTCAATATATATTTTACCTCTACTTATTACCAATAAGCTGTGATACTCTATCTAAATATAGATTATCACCCTGCCTGGTCTTTATTGGGCTTTAATCAGAAGATTATAGGATTCTTTATTGTACACACTTCGTTTTGATTCAGAAAACAGTCAGGTTTATAAAAGTAAGAATTTATTTTACAAACAATTGAAACATAACAAGTTAACTAAGCATTTACTGCGATGGATGGAACTAGATGTGATGTATGTGTGTGAATGAGATGTTAGTCATAACTTCCGTATCTAGGAGAGCTGAATTCTGGATGTAAAAGAATTTGGTTTGCATTAAGCTATGAGCTGATTATTATCAAAAACCACATCAGACGCAATCTCACTGTGTTCTACGTACCCAAGTGGATATGCCCTTTTCGGATCCGAGATGTCGGGGGGGGGTGGGGGGGGGGGGGGGGGGTCGGAGGCCCCCCAGGTACTGAAGTCTGTAGATTACCTGCACTACGACCAGGTCAGTCCAGAGTCATCTCCAGGTAACGACAATTGGAACTAGTTTGCGTCTCAAAAATAAATCTTAAGGAGTTGAATAATTCTGCTTGTTCTGCAGGAACCATTTTGTTGTATCAGCTTTGCAGGTGCAAAAAAGATTTTGACGACGTGTCAAAAGATTTGATGGGTTAAAGAGGTGTGCTTCAGGTGGCCGGTCTGAAGCTTCTCTAGAACTGAAGAATCACCAGCGTGATCTGGTTTTAATGTTCTCATGTTATGATTGTGTAGCCAACCAGAGGTTGACAAGTTTGAGGATATTACCAAGAATCTCAGAAAAACGCCTTCTTTGATCCGGAAGCTCTGATCTGGTGCAAAGGCTAATTATGTGTGATGGATTTAACTTTAGCTTACTTTGTTCTAGTGTGAGTGCAAATGTTATGACCTCGTCAAGTAAATATGCTGAAACATGTATCATTGAGCACAGATTAATGAGCATTTCATTATTTTATAATTATTATAAGTAGCAATAAACAAATGTTTATTTAATGATTTTCTTGCTTGTAAATATTAGAAGTTCATATTTAATTTTAAAAATCTTCTTTCTTCTGTTCTACTGTGAGGCAAGGAGTCTTAGATAAGAAGGGTGCTCTGTGAGGGGCCTTGGAAGGAGAGAATGTTATTGTTATGATTTCATTATCTCTGTCAGAGCTGCAGGCTCTAAGCTCCAGCTGGTGTGAGGTAGGCAGGCTGATTAAAAGGGAACACGTGCAGTCTCGTGTCTCCTTTTTGACCAGATGTTGAATGGTCAAACAGTACCTAAACTGACCATTGCTGGATGCTTAACTGTTACTCTGGCAGAGTTTAGGTTACTGATCTCTCCTTTCTGCCATCTTTCTTGAACCTTCGACTCACCCTCCTTCTCTCTCTCTTTTTCAGCTCCTCACATCATCTGTGTTTTCATTCCTAATCCACAGATCTCTGCATGATCTTCCCAAAATACAAAAATATCCTGGTTCTCACTACATTTCTTGGCTCTGCTCTTCCTCAAGTAACAACACACAGTGTATCTTGAATAACCTGGATAACCCGATCAGGGGGATTTGTTTCCTGAAGGAGTCGTTCAAGTCGGCATGTGGAATGCAAGATAACACACAGACATGCAAGATCCCATAGCTGCTTGGACAACCTCAAAATCGACCTAATTCATTTGGGATCTGTGACATTTACTTACATTCAGCCTAATATGAACCCCACCAAACACACACACACACACACACTTCAGATGGTGGCCTCCTGATGACAGAAAGGGATTTAACGTGTGCCAGTCACTGACTTCAGTGCATTTCTGTCACAGAATAGTCAATACTCTAAGAGAGAAGCTTTACAGATCACATGACTGCCTTGGAGAGACATGTTGTCAGTGTGTGTGTTTGTGCATAGAATACCAGCACAATCGCGCGCGCGCACACACACACACACACACACACACACACATACATACAGAGAGAGAGAGAGAGAGAGAGAGAGAGAGAGAGAGAGAGAGAGAGAGAGAGAGAGAGAGAGAGAGAGAGAGAGAGAGAGAACACAATAATAATAATAATAATAATAATAATAATAATAATAATAATAAAGCAGCTCAGAATAGTCCAAACGAATTCATTTGTCATACATTTCCTTCAGTCGGCTCACTAAGTCAGCTGAAATGGAGACAAATGCTGCAGGACCAGGAGATAATCCTCACCGACATGAGGATTTTGCCGCATGGCTTCATACTAATACTCATAATCATCAGAGTAATTAATTTTAGTAGACAGTTCAATGTTTGGCAGCTGTCACTTACAAAATGTGCAAGAAACTCAAAATTAAAAAAAGAAATTAATTAAATTTGAAGGAATAAAATTTTGTTTTGTTTTTTTTGTTTGTTTCTGTGCATAAGCCCCTTGAAGAGATTAAAACAGTCTCTGTGCCCACTGGTTTCTTTTCAGCATGTGAATATTAATTTTTCTTCAGCTGTTCACTCAACAGCTTTACTATTTGGGTGAAAGCTGCTTTTAAACCTCTGGCAAAAAGAAAAATCTCTGTGGAAGGATGTTCATTCAGCTGTTTTATTTTGTAGTACAGAAAAAGGCAAATTGAACCATGACAGAAAAAACAGTTTTATTTAAAGCAATGTTTCTGCATATTTGAACTGCTTTTTACACTAAGTAAACAAATAATTACTTTTTACATGGTGCAGATCATTTACAGAACAACCTCTGTTCAGAGAAATAGTTTGTGGATTGAAGAGCTAACAGCTTGTCTGAGTGCAGCTACAACTAAAGTGTTTTGCTGCTATTTTAAAATCGTGGCTCACTGAAAAAAAATCATTTCAAAATGTTTTTTATTATAATCAGTCACTCTGAGTTTTTCATGCAGGCTGAACACCTACTTCCTTAGCATCTGAGAGAAAATAGCTTCTGAAACTCAAGGATTTTAAAATCCTCACAGATCTACGTCACACTATAAATTAGCATTCATGGACTCACCCATCTTGATTCACTACAGAGAAGGCTGTTGTTGGTTTAGCGTCCAGGAAAAAGCAGAGAATGTCTCAGCTAATAGAAGCTAACCATTATCATTAGCAACTCCACACCAGAGCAGAACTCCTCCAGGCTTCTGTTATTTATGCAGGTAAAACATCAGTGCTGCAGAGCAAACTGAGTCAGTGGTAGAGTTGTGTTGCTGTTAGCCAATCAGAGGCCAGATGTCCAAATCTCAGGAAATAAGATTCCCAATCCTGTTGTCTGAAGCTACTTCCTTAACCAGCTGACTTCTCCTTCCTGCAACAAGCTCACCTGAGCCTTTTCTCCCCTGAGTACAACTTACAAAACATTAATTCTAGTAGAGACCACTGCAAATGTAATGCTTCAACAATTTAACCAGACCTTTAAATGGCTTCAATCACCAAAACATCAAGCTATTCGATTAGATGGTGATTTGCAGGGAATTTCCGTAAATAACGACACGAAATGTGAAGTTTTAGCCAACAGCATTTAACCCTAATATTAGCTAGAACTAAAAAAATAATAAAACGACTCTTGTTAAATGACTAATTGTTAATGTTTGCCTGCTTTACCCAAAATAGTAAAGGTCACAACTCTTTGTGACCTTTATTTTGGTGGTCAAAATCTGAAAAGTTTGCAAACCTACAGCATCAGCATCCAGGAGGCAACAGTTTGGAGGTACCACTACAGATGTGTACAAAGTTTCATATTTTTCTTGAACTGCTCATCCTTCAGTTCCATTAGTGCATCCTCCACTTAAAAATGACAACTGTATTTTCTAAAAACGTGCAAAAGTTGTTTCCATAAAACTTTTTCAAACCTCTATGTAGAGTCACTAATTGACTTGAAACTTCTAGCGAAACTGTTTTTAAGCTCACATTTTAGCTACTTTCTGTTTAAGAGATGGCATTGCCATGGATCCTTCATCACAAGCATGAATTTTGCTGGAAGAGA